TGCAATCGTTCATTTCATCGTCAGAAGCTGTTCGTTTTATCTCAGGGACTCGCGCCGTGCGAGCGGCCAGCGACGACCTTACAATCGCTCGTCGGTGTGTGCGATTGTACGGTCGTCGAGGGCCGTCGGCACGGTTAACGTGGGGCGCCCGCACGGTTTCTAATGCTCGCCGCTTGCGCGGGGAAGGTCGGCCGCTCGCTTGCTGTTGGAGTAAATTCATGTGGTATATCTTGACCATTTCTCTTGGATATTTTGGTCCTTCTCACACTGCGGGATTATGGGTCGATGCCTGCGGCATTGCCCAGATTTTCCATGGGGAAGCCCACACCTTCATTCTTGATGACTGTAGCCTCACACAGGTACATTCCAGCTTTGTTAGTGAAGGAAAGCGTTGGTAACACGACATGTCAATGCTTAGCCAGCCTAAACGCTGCGTCGTATCTCACGCAGGTACCTTCCGCTCACAATGTGTGAAAATAGTGAGCAAAAGATTGAGGTCACTGATGGCCGCTTGCACGGCAGCAGGTATTGCCAACCGATAAGACGGACGCATTGCTGGCCGCTCGCTCGAGCAAATGTATTGCCGGTCGTTTGCACGGTAACATTGCCTGCCGCTAGGACGGCGCTTCAGCTGCTGGCCGCACGCAAGCTTTAGGCTTATGTCGACCGCTTGTACGCTAGCGCTTATAGGAGGACCGCTCGCACGGCGCGAATCCCTGAGATATCAAACCGCAGCAACTACCGTTGTACCATGGTGGATTTCAATAGGAAAATCGACTTCTCTGTGAAAAATTTCGCGTGTTATGATGGAAAACTTGCTGTGACTACAATTTGGAAGAAAAATAGGGCGTTTTGCTCGCAGCATAATCTCGCATAAGCTACGGTACCATATTTGCAGAATCCAACAAACTGATTTGCTTGGAAATTTCTATGAACCAGACAGTGGTGGCAAGGCCAAGAATTGTAAGATGAGATAGCATAAGCCCAGAATTGTCTTACTAGTTCTAAAACATGCAAAAATAAGTCTTAAGTGAATATTTGAATAGCTAAGTCTGTCACTTGGTACGCTCTATAAATACACTACATTCTTGAGCAAAATTCTAAGCTTTAGAAAAATTAGCAAAAATTCAAAGCAAGCTCCGATTTTTTTGCTAATGACAAGAAGTTGTTATTAATTAGATTTTTTAAATTATTATCAGCCCATCTACTCGTAAAATGGTTCATGTTGAATAGCAATGTTAGTAATTTTGACGAAGCCCAGCAAATTCCGCACAAAAATGAAAGACCTCTTTTGCATAAAAACACTCAGAAACCGCAAAAAAATTAGTTGCAGGAATTATTTGGAATCTTTGTATCCAACAGTACTGTTGGAAAAATGGTGACTTAATTGCTAGCGTTCCTTACAAAAGAGCAGATATTGTGCCAACTTTCTTATGTTATGATTGTTATTATCAAGCGATTACATCATTTCAAATTAGCGGTAGTAAGAGGTACTCACAGCTTTTATCTTCCTGCTTTTGTTTCATTATCATAAATAATCAAAAATTTGCCGTACAGCTCTTGCTCACCTCCAGCTCAATGTTGAAATTCGCGGAACTACTGAGAAATACATGGACGAAGACGTTTGTCAAACGGCCAGCAACTACTGATGTCGTCATAACATCTCTTCGTATAATCTATTCACTTGTTGTTTACGTCCTTGCTGAGGTATTGGCACTAAGCCAAAAATGAAGTTTTCACTGGCTGTTGATGAAGTGGTTGCTCCGAAATCACCTGAAAGAGTGTCATCGCACTGTTCTTTTTGACAGAAGTACGAAATGTGAGAAATTTCACAAGAGAGAAGACCCGAAACTCGCTAAAATAGCGATGCACGAGTAGTGCAGGTGATATGAGCGAAGGCGCTAGGGCGAAAGCAAACTTCGAAATAACAAGTGAATGAATCAATTTTGGATGCGAGACATGGAGGTATTAGTGACAGCGAACGATGAGCGCACGTAGCTGTCGCCGCTTTTTACCCCCACACATTTCCCCACAGAAGTCAGGTTTTCGGGCATCCCCTTCTGCAATTATGTCACCTCTAGGCTCCAAAGTCTCTTGTTTTCGGTTCAAAGCTAAGATATACAGTGCGAGGCCACAGAACTAAAGATGATTGAAGAAGTAACCGGGAGCAACCTGGTTGGGATATTAGGTTGGTTCAGTCTTGCGCCAAAATGTTAAAAATCGTGGTTTCTCCAATATGAGGGTTAGTGAAAAAACGCTCTCTACAAGTAAGAAAGGGTCCAGTAAATTTTAGCTAAGGTGAATATAGTCTTACAACATACTGGAGTGGAAAAAGGTCATGCTGGATCGATGCCTACACGAGCAGCTTTGATTCTCGAGTTGATTTATTTGTTGCCTTGATTTTCAGATAAATTCTGATATGCACAACAAATAAATATTCCTTACAGCTGATAAAGAGGATGCTAGAATCGAAACGCGTGTCTGTACAATTTTGAAAGAATTTTTCTAAAGTTTCATGGCGATATAACATACAATCAGGCGCTGATGATGAAGCCAATCTTATCTTGAGCTTAGAAAACCACTGCTAAGTCAAATTTCAACACACTACCACTAAAGCCTGCCTTGGAAAATATGACGAGTTCATTCTATGTAGCAATTCTACCAATTTTCAATGGCAATCGATATTCGACTAAACTGTCTTATCTCAGAAACCTTTCAGCAACTCTGATTCATAAACTCAAATTTTAGGCTTAGGTACTCGCGAGCACTTAAAAGTGAGTAATACAGTCGTAGTCATAGTTTGCTCAATATCCGGCTTCTTTCCACGTCAAAGTGATTTCCACAAGAAATGGGGAGGGAGAATGCATGTAACAAAAATATTCTCCATTTTATGACAACTGCCGATGTGCCAAAAGCAAAGAACGGGCCTTGTTAATGACTTTTACGATTTTTCGTTTAACCTTTTCACTCTAAGCCGAATAATGAATCGTTTGCCCTATCAAAATCTATCTGCAGCATAAGTACGAAGTCCGCATAGCTGAAATAGTATTGTTTTCACCCTTGAAATTTCTGGTAAAGAGCTAATTTATCGAAATACACAGCAGATTTTGTCACATAATGAGAAAAGGAACCCAATACTGCTGGTGAATTAAGCTTGAAGTTAGAAGCCTATTAAGTTTACATTCTATCAACAAAGCTTCAACAGTGCAATATGAGTCGATTACTGTCAAAATTCCAATTTCTTTTTTTGATATAAAAATATGCCCTGGTCTTTGAATTGTTTATCGGTGGTACATATGTAGGAGAATGATTAGCACTTACACAGTGACATATTCGATCATTCGCCCAAGTGGCAAATAAGGTCACGTTTTAGACAAAAAAAAACAGTAAAACAGAAAATTGTACTGTAAATCACGACGGTGACTCAAAGTGCTGGAAAAGCTTCGTGAGCCCTTTTAATGGTTAGAAAAAAGTGGGTCAAGAAATGTATGGTGTAGATGAAATAGTAGAGGATTAAATTATATAAAAAGAGGGTAAGTGAAAATTAAGAAAAAAGAGTTCCAGAAGCGTACGGGATGCGGATATGAAGACCGGCTCAAATGACAAGCTGCTCACACCGAAGTTTCGAGGTGTGCGGAAATGGCCGCTATGAGTGTGTTCACTTGCACGCACATCACACCCACATCGATCTTTTCCTTTGAATAAAACGACATGATAAACATTCGCAACGGACAAACGAAACTTCGCGTCCACTGCAGAGACATTTCGTAGCTCGTCGGAGCAGCAATTAAAAAGTGTTATTGCTTTTACGGAACAAACGAATGGGCAATTATGGTAAAAACCTTTCTCAAATACATTTTGCTGTAGGCAAGACTTACGAAATTAGGGAACAGCAGTAGCAAAAATTTGTGGATATCATTGCTGTAAGTCCCGTGCCATACTTGACCCGCTTGATCCATCTGATCCATTTCGCTATTGGTCAAATCAATGAACTGACCATCGAAGCAGATGTCCACGTGGTTCGCTATATCCACTTCCCTGTTGGTCAGATTACTGATTTGACCAATAGGAAGTATGAAGTGGATCAATTGGATCAAGGGAAAAGTGTGGCCTGTGGCAAAAAAGCAACTGGAATGAAAACTGAGGAAGTTCAAAGAGAGCAAATGCTCTAAAAGCGATAAAACTGGAAGGAAAATGGCGCCACTTAAATGGGAAGAAAAACGCTAATATTGTAAAAGATCAGAATCGCGGGCGCAAAAGAGAAATGCGATTCAGACTGGTAATTCAAATCACCCCAACTAGGAGTGAAAACAAAATAGGAGCCGAAAACAATAGCATTTTTTGGTGGCATGGTTTTTCGTTCAAATCTCAAATATTCACTCAAAACATGAAAGAAGGCATAGTAAGTAACATTAGAATAAGTGAGATTGACAAGAGGAAATTACCTGATGTTCAATAACATTTTTGAGAAACTGTTAGGCATGTAGATGACGGACTCTATGGAAACAGCAAGCTGTCCATAGCTGACAGACTGTCAGCAAGGAGATTTATGGTTTATGGTTACGGTCAGACATGAGGGAGTAATAAAAGCTAAATAAACATGAGAATTCCAAGGGATAAAAGAGAGTGATACTTGGATCTAACCAGGAAGTAAGATTCGAGCAAATTCGAAAGTTCGGCGAGCTCTACTACTGCGATTAACTTCTGAAGTGTATAAAACTTTATAGTGGACATGAAGAACAGTTCAGGTGCTAGGAAGAAGTAGTAGTCGACTGAGCACAGAGAGTGATGCTTGCATTATTGTTTCAAAATTCAAAGGAGGATTGTAAAAGTGATCAGAATTAGATCTACACCTTCAACAAGCAAATTATGTGAACATCATCCAAGTTCACTATAGGAATAAGAAAATCTACCATCGTACATCCATCTCTCCTATGTTAAAAGAAACGCCATGCTCAAGGCTTGAAATAAATCTGAATCTCAGACCCGCAAATGACGTCATGAATAAAACACGTTTTCAAAAATTTGCAATTGGCAGCAAGCCAGTGTCCGACGGGCGCAGCACTTTCGCAGCGGCGCATGTTTATCGATCGCGAATTCTTCGTCGCTTTGCTTCGCAGTCAACGCATTTTCCATGGAAGTTGCTTCAAAAGTGGTTATCTGGGTGGGTTTCTTTTCGTAATTACAATGATTATTTCTTTTGTGTTGGCCCATCTATTTTTATTTATTTTGCTGGTTTGTAGTTTTTCATGCACTGTTGTGTACGTAGCAAATGCAATTTGATAGCTGTTTCTTTGCTTTTCTAGTTTCGGCAACAAATGTTTCCACTTTCACTTTCATCTAAGCTGCTCTATTTATATGTTTCCGGGTTTCAAGCAAAAACTCTTGGAAATTGATAAGCATGCATCTGATGAAGGGAAACTCTCAGGTTTGACTTGATCAACAATGAGAGGTTTAATCCACGCATTTCAGAAATCTACTTGATATAGCTCTGTGAAATGTATGGCGAAAAATTACTTGACTATATCTACGTTACATCGCTTTCTCTAAGCTCTTCGTTAACTAAATATCCCTTGTAATTGTGGTTCATTCAGTCGTTTTTCCTTTTATTTTGGCGTTTTTCTTTTCATTTCGTCGTAAATTCTAACATCGTATCGCATCTCTACTCTCTCATGTTAAGGTATCAGAGGTACGAGGAAAATGAGAGGCACGTGGAAGTCTGGAGCTTCCCAGCACTACCAGAGGCAAAGGCGGCTGCCGTTGCCGCCTCCTACCTGATGTCCCAACACCATCAGTGTAAGTCATTTCACTTGTTGGTTAGATATTTTAAAAATATCATTCATTACGTCCTATCGTATATTTCCATAGATTTCCACTAAAAAATAGTCGTAGTTTTATAGTTCATTTATAAAATCGTGACGACGGATTTTACTGCGATCTTTGCGCCCGCAGGAGCATAAAAGGCTCATACAAGAAGACATCACCTCAAGCGTTCAGCTCAGTCACCTCCAGTGTCTAAATATTATCATACATAAGCAATAAAACCATTCCACTAGAGATGAAAACCAAGAAAACGCGATTTTCGGAAGTGGCGTGCGTGTCGCGCGCGGTCGCGCCATCGTCACGATTTTTCAAATGCACTATACTTTGCGTTTCATTCTCACTTCCATAACGAATTCACTTCTTATTCTCAAACGAGTGCTTCACATATCAGTATGCTGCTACACAGTTGCTGTCGAATGCTTTTTGTTGAAGAAAAACTGCTGCTATTTCCTTGCTTAACAAAAGTTTCAAGCTTTGATTAGTCTTACAAGGGAATGCATGTTTAGTCGAAGTGGCCTTTTTGGACGGGATGTGTACCATACTGAAGGGCATAAAATGCTGATTTCAAATTCGCCTTCATTATCTGCAGAACTTTTATGGGCGAGGACTTATGAGCGTTTATTATAGCAAAACCTGAATGTGTAAGTAGGATAAAACTAGCCGTAATACTTTTTCTAGCACTTCAATGGAGCACTGATAATCATCAGAGCACTTTATTCAAAGAATACTCTAAAATAAAAAATATGTCACCTTGGTTGCATCATTTTAGGGCTACGCTAGTAAGATTTTAGCAACTTTAGCACATTCAATTTTTGACTCCAAAAGACGATCGTAACTCCTCGCCCATAAATGTTCTGCAGATAATGAAAGCAGTTTTGGAATCAGCGTTTTATGCGCTTTAATATGGTACACAACTCATTCAAAAAGGCCTTTGACCAAACAAGCTTCCCTTGGTTAGTCTGCCTGTTAGGATGATCTTTTTTACTATACACTCTCACATACCTCTCCTCAGGGCTTCAATCTAGGCATTGTTTTTGTATCTCATATTTTTTATACGTGCTTTTTACGTGCTTTCGAAGTGGTGAAACTTGGCTCATATCCAAATATGTTTTCTAAGTGAAATCACCTATAACAAAACCTTTACATCAAAACTTTTCTCAAAAATTACCTCGAACAGCTTTGCACTAGATTGTTGCTTCTATTCTAGCTTTTCTATTGTTCTCATCTTTTTTCGTTATTGCTTTGATGGAAGTAACAGCCTTGATGTACTATGAGAGTTTGCCCACATGTTGCTGGTTTTCTGCTGTTAACATTGTTACTGCTGTCACCGAGTAGCCTTAGATCGGTAACATTGGCCATTAGTGCCGTATAACCGATCCCTTTCAATTCCTGATAAGCATTCTATAGGCTCACGAAATACAAGGCGCTTGTAAAGGATGGTGATGTGCAGAGTATGATGTTCTATTTCATCTTTGTATAAACATAGACACCAAAATTAGCAACTCAAGCATGCGCTCTGACTGAAAACTTCGTATCTTTGTGGCTAAGCTCCCCTCAAAATGCTGCCTGGTCAGCTTTTTGCCAAAACTCTCAGAAGTACCATCTGCGAATGTTATATTCTGGCTACTTCCACCATGTAGACATTAATCAAATGGTAAAGAAATTGCTGAATTGCAGCGCGGTTGAGGTATTTCGGTCACACATCTATCAATGTGCATCATTCATCACAAATCTCTTATAGAGGGCGAGAAATTCGTAATGTTTAGAGCCAAACGTTTGTGACAGAGAAGGTAAATCGGATGAACTATGCAAATGCTGTTAGGCATTCTTACAATAATTCTGAAGAACTTCTTCGTGAATAATTCTGAAGAACTTCTTCGTGGAGCCACCACTATTTTCAGAAAATCTGAAATGGATGTGTTCGTTATATTGAACACGACAAAAGGTGTGTATGCTAGTGGTCAAAAATGTTGTGCTACATAAACAGAATTCCTTTTTAGGGAAAATTTCGGAGTCGTACCGTATTTTCACGTTTTTTTGAATAACAATATCATGGGGCACATCAATCTCTTGAAAAGCATGACTGGCTATTTCGTTTTACGAATATACCATACGCTGGCTGATTAGTAGCATATCACTTGACTGAAAGACATTGCATTACCTATGTCTTTTTCACAAGATTTTGAAGTTCTCATCTTCATTGGAAGTGACGAAGTAATTTATTTTGAGTCTAAAATAGTAAGGGGGTCTAAGAGATAGGGCTTACGTACTTCCTGCTTTGGCCACTGCACCAGAACAAAGCAGCGATATCAGGAAAACACTTTCTTAACTCATCACCCTCGTTATTCAAAAGATCTTTAGAATAATAGAGTATGACGCGGATTTTGTACTAGTGTTTCGTAAAAGGTGATGCCGTTTTTGAGTTTAGTCCACCCACCCATTCTCCTTACTACTTCTTGGCCGTTTTGTTCGAAGTTGCATTTCTCATTTGCCTCAGAATTTTTTTATGTTACATGAAACACCGCCATTTTGCGAATAAAGTTAATTTAAACACTCTATTAGCACTACTCCTTGCTATAACAGATGACAAGTAGTTTGAAATTTTTTGAATTGATTTGTTCCGATCGTGATAAGGCATTGCCTAATCATGAGTTTTACTGGATTGAGCTTGAAACTGTGGTTTTAAGCTTGAGGTTTCACCACATCTACAAAGCCTCAAAAAGTCTTGGAAAGTATTTCACGTTTGTCGTAATCGCATGTAATGTTGAGATACAGTAAGACAGAAAATTGTATACTTCATGATATGTGAGATGCACTATTTCTTGTAGTAGCCATGCTTTGGTAGGGATGTTTTTTTGACACGCACTCAGTGATGCACGATGTTTTCACTGCATTGCTTTTCCTTATTTAGCATTAGCTATTTCTCAAGATTTTTGCTCAATGCTTTTAAGAAAGCATCGATATTTGATCTATAAAAATATGTGCCATGTGATGCTTTTTTTCATATCTTAGCTCACATTTTCCGAATTTCTACAAGTTAATTCTTGGAGTGAGCGAAAATCAAGCAATCCATCCAAAAATCTGTACATCAAGACAACACTAGGTAAGCAGTTCAGGCAATGCATCTTTTTCTCCTCTTTTTCATAGTTATTATTTGCATGTATGCAAAATCTGACGAAAAATGTCGCAATTCCAGAATCTTGATATCTTCCGAAAAGCTCTCATTTAATTTCGCAATGAGTTAGAATCAAGATTTGGAAGAAGTTCCCTAGTATCTGGAAAATTTATGATACAAAATTCAGAATTTTAGTCTACTTTTATTCTAGGCGATTTGCGATGTTTTAAAGAATGGGTCGTACCTTTGAACCGATTTTGTTGGTGATGCGCAACTCTTTTTCTAATTGTTATATAGCCTAAATTAATTATTATATTTAGTCATTTCAGATGCGCGAAGCCATGAATCTGAGAACGGAGATGCTCAACACCCTCGCCAAATTTTTCGCTGTACCCTCAGTGATTCATGCTGATACTGTACTTCAAGTCATTTGTGATTTTTGTGCACGCTGCCGATCTATCCACGAAGACCCGAAGACGCTTTTCACATCCGAAGAACGCCGAGAGTTCCATAAGAGTCTAAACGAGTCATTACCACAGAAAATGAACGAATGTTTGGTTGAACACCTCTATTGCTTAGACATGAAAAGTGCCACAACATTTCGTAAAATCCGCTCTGGTTTACAGTTCCTTAGAGATGATTTTATAGCTAGAGGGGATAAAGAGGTGCAAGATAAGTACGAGCGCTTGATGTATAGCGATGGAGTCGGAAACATCGAGGTTAAGCTGAATGACTGGCATGGCGATGAAAACGAATGGAGTAACGATACGGAGGTAGCAGACTTGAGAGGAGTCCCGCTCAGTCACTACTGGTGGAGTGAAAAGGAAAGGACCGATTCGAGACTGGTGCACGGGGAAGCCCTGATTGAGCTTCCTATCTGTGATTGTGCTTTCTAAATCGCTTTGTATGTATCAAAATGTAAATAATATTATTTATGCTCTCTTCCTAGAGTAAAAGTATGATACTCAGAAAGTGATCTACTCAATACTATCTTGTGCCTCTAAGCATGATATTTGTGATTCCGGTTGTACCTAATAAATTAACAATTCGCTTGCGTGTACTGTTTTCTTTGATTCTGGTATCTGCCAGGTATTTTCAGTTTATACTTTTCGTCGCAATCGTAATTTACATATGCTATCGCTGCCTTGACAAATGCTATGAGAAGAGATCGAAGAGGTCGGAAAATGTTCAAGGCAAATCAGGGCTTTGTATATAATGTTGTTGATACAAGCTTGTTTATTTATCTAAGTTCAGGTTTTGATCAACAATTCAATTTTGAACACGTTACATTTTTTCAATTCAAAATAAGCATGTCATGTTATTAGCAAAATATTATGTCGTAACATGTTTTGCCTTTCACTTCAAGGGAGAATTGAACTCCAAGTTTTGATCATCCCAAATTGTGCGGAGAATTGTATAAGGTTGATCAAAGCATGTTCCTCATGCCGAAGCCGCGGAGATATAATATGGAGAAGCCAATCCTACAAGATAGTCCTCAAACAATCTTGCTGTTAGGAAGTTTGACACACCGAAAATTAGCAAAAAAATCTGAGAATATTCAAAAACCCAAAACTGGATCTATGCCCAAAAAATGCACAAACCTCCAACTTGTTCACGAATACTCGGTGCATATGCATATGTGCCTTGCTGCATTTTTTCCTTGACTAGAAGTTGAGAAAATTAAATTTGACTTGCTCTAGCAAAACAGCTGTTGTTCCGTTATAAATTATAATATTGCAAACTTTTTTAAGTATAACAATAAATATTCAGCCTTGTGCAAGCACTATTAGTCAAGATATATCAAATTCAACATAAAAAACCTGGAACAGCGACATTTTCATTTTTTTGGCTTATTGTTAATGTCAAGCCAGGAAAAAATACTGCAAGTATACATATAAATGTCTGGTGTGCATAGTATATGCTTGACCAAATTGGGAGGTTCGCAGGATCTTTTCAGAGGAAAATCTTAATTTTGGGTAAATGAAATTTTCTGGATTTCTTCCTAAACTTCTCGTTGATCGAATCTTTGCGATTGTTTAAATGCTATCTTGTAGAGCTTGCTTAGTCTTACAAATAATGAGTTTCTTGAAATTCCAAGTCTTCTCTGCCGTTTTAGGATAAGGAACATGCACTGATTGTGCATCATCCTCATAGCCTTCGAAATTTACATGTTTTACAAATGAAAAATTTAATTTTTGAATTTTTCAAAAAAATCTTATTGCTTGACCAATTCCTGACTTGCGGTATTGAGCTTCGTGTTAGCAGTGATGCTCCCGAAAATCATTTGAAAAAGTCAAAAAGATGAGAACGAAGGATGTGAGAATGTTTGGATAAAGAAAAAAACTGAGGTTGAAGCGCCACTACAGGTAAGATGAAAGAAGTGCAACAAGACTTATTTTACGATTAACACAATGGATATGGTCAGAATAGCAGATCTGAAGGGTAAAAAGAAAAAATGAGCATGTTCAGCGGCACATTCCGATAAAATCATTTTCAATGATTTTCAGTCATTCTTGATCTGCATGATATTTCTAGATGAGGCCCCATTTACACCTTGAAGAATGTTTTGGTGTAAAAGAAGACATCGGAAAATATTTTTTGATATAGTCTGTCATAAATCTAGCATCCCTGCCATTCTAGATGCGAGTTTCTGTGAATGAGGAGGGGAACGTTTTTATTACTTGTTTCTAGAATGGTGTGAGATCAAGAACGAGTGAAAGATAGTAAGAATGTCAATTGCATTACGATCAGGATTGAGAAAAAGTGAAAAAGACTAAGGAAGACTCATTTGATAAAATGAGAACACTGACATACAAAAATTATAGTTTTCGTTGAAATATAAGACTCAAAATAAGTAACTGACCTGGTTGTGTTCCCCTCGCTTTTGAGCTCCTTGCCCAGCTTTGACAAGAGCAGCCCATGATTGGTAGAAGAGCTGCCTAGGCTTGATCATACTGAATGCGTAGCTTGTACTGTTTGACTGCGAATTCACCGATGGATTCCATCTTGCGACTAGTCGTCTAGTCACGACGAACTCGTCCTCGTTAAGCTTTTTCGACCAGGTACAATTGGATAGGGCGGTGCGATTTATATGTATGTATGTGGATCAGCTTCAACGGCTTATCTTCACTATCTTCCGAGTCGCGATTTTCCACAAAATGGCTGAACAACTGTCCAAATCGGTTGGATGTGGTCAGAGATGGCAGCAAGTCCATCCGGAGAAGTGTTGTCTTAGCCGGGGGAGCGGGTGGAGAATGCCTTGAAATTGGCACACACTTACACACACACACGCACCCGAGGTGATGTCGATCAATAGACTGGCGCTTTGCTTTGCGGTGGAATTACAGGGGGACACATTGACGGGGTTGCAGACATTTTCCCCGCCGTCATATAGATAGCCAGAGTGTTCAGCGCCTTTTCAAGGGGGATCTGGAAGAGGGAGAAATTTTTTGGGCTCAAATATGGCATGATGTATGTCATTCGAAAGGGTTCGACGCGCCTAGGCCGAAGGAGTGGTCCATAAGGAGTGATTTTATCAATAGTGGAAGGGAGCTATTTTTTCCTTGACTTTAGGCACCTTAGGATCTGATAACTTCGCTGAACTTCAAAAATCTTGCGGTCACCACTACTTTCAGTACCACCATCTCCACACCCTCCCGACCCGTTTAACACCCATAATGCCGGGTTTTCTTTAAGGACCGCGTCCAGAAGAAGGCAAAATGCTCAGCGCAAGCGCATTTTTAATGACGAGTGTTTGTGTACGCGTATAATGGCGAGAACTTAGTGCTTGTCGCGTCTCGTCGCCTCCTCGCCCCGTACACTGCTTCTCGCCGGCCCCCGTCCCCCGTCACACTCCACAGTTCATCAGCTTTTTCAACGATCTTCACCCCTCCCCTCCCTCCTGGCCGTTCCAACCCATGCCCCGCCTATGCCCCGCGCTCGTGTGGTGGTCCTCGTTGGGCTGCGGCTGCGCGCTAAAAGTAGCATTTCTGGAATGCGCTCCTCTGATGTTGATGATCGATTTTTGGTACCCGATGAATGTCAGCCTGTTCTCGTGTCGGTCATGGTCAGCCGGGGGATGTGCCGGGAAAAAGTAATGCGGAGGCGATGTCGAGCCGAATAGGTAGCGCCTGCTAGAATGGCTGTGAAACTGGAAAACTGGGGAGACTCAAATTACAATAGACTTAGGGCCGCATGCACTAACCTCCCCGCGGGGAGGGGATCGCAGCTTAAAGGAAAGCTTTATTTTCAAAACTCCTGATACCTGGATTTCACGTTGTGTACCTATCCGTAAGTATTCCTACTACCCTTCACTATGAACATGTTGAACAGGAGCGAGAAGCTGTACGAACCGCATTTTCCAGCTTTTGTATGATCCCTGATGATCCCCGGCGCTTTTCTTTGAAATCATTTTTCTTTCTCCGATGTTAACGAAAAACCTCCAAAGTTGTGCAGATTATCTAAACCGACAGTGCTAAGCATGTTGCTGATAAGAACAAATGATGTTTTGAAGTCATGAAATTTTCGATGATCCACAGGTCGAAATTTGAGGTTTGCCGGAAAATTCGACTTTTTAAAAACTCATTTGTTCTCATCAGCAACATGCTTAGCACTGTTGTGTCAGATGTTCAGTACGACTTTGGAAGGTTTTCGTTAACTTCGGAGTAAGAAAAATGACTTTAAAGAAAAGCGCCGGGGATCATCAGGGATCATACAAAAGCTGGAAAATGCGGTTCGTACAGCTTCTCGCTCCTGCTCAACATGTTCATAGTAAAGAGTAGTAGGAATACTTACGGATAGGTACACAACGTGAAATCCAGATATCTGGAGTCTCGAAACATAAAGCTTTCTTTTAAGCTGCGATCCCCTCCCCGCGGGGAGGTTAGTGCATGCGGCCCTTAGTGGGTCAATACAGTATGGCTGCTAGGGGTTCCCGGATCAAATCTGTCCTTGCATGATTTCAACTTAGACATCTGAGTTTTGCAAAATCGAGTATCCAATAATTCGAATTCCATTTTTCTTTAGCAAGAGCTGTTCGACACTCGAACAAGAGATTTCCGTAATTTCAGTCAAGGGATCGATGGAAATAACGTTTGATACTACCTATTAGTAACACAGGTCAATTCTAGATCAAGCATATCTTGACTCGAGAATTGCAGTCCTAGAAAATTTATATTGCTTGAGTGAAAGGTATCAAGTTGCTTTAAAACGCCTACAAAAGTCTTTTTGACTTTTCTTATTCGTTCGATTTTGTTCCGATTATATTTTTGATATGTAAATAGCAGAGGCGGTTCCAGAATTTCCGTCCTGGGGGAGGGGGGCGAAAATTTCTTTCAAATGAAGGTGCGTGGCGTTAGCCGCGCACTCCGAAAAATCTTAGGGGTGCTTCTCAAAATTTTTGTGGGTCCCCAATCCCTAAAATCTGGAGAAAGGAGGCGTGGCTAACGAAAAAAGATATTTTATAAGGCTAATTTGAATTTGTGAAAAATTTTGAGAATTATTTCAATTGTTTACAAAAATAAACAAGTCACTTGCATATTTTTATAACACACGTAAGCAAATTTCAAAAATTTCGCGACCCATTCTCGGGGGGGGGGGCGTGAATCTCTTTGAGCTATCACTGCACTATCACTTTGAATTGCAGATTTCAGAGTTTTGATCTCATTAATTGGAACAAAACGATCAGTTCTAGGTACATCCACTTTCATCTTGTATTTTCCGAATGAAAATTGTGTAACTGTTTGGTCACGCTGTTCTAAACGTGGTTGGTAGCCAATATGTGAATATGTGAACTGAGTGCTTCAGATCACAATCTAAATCTACAACCAGTTTTGGCTTCGTTGATACGTTCGTAGCCTTCGAACTATGAAGTAACCGATAGCGCCATAGAGGCCTTGCTTTGATTTCTTAATTTTCATTTGGCCTGAAAATTACCATGATATATTGTGCTTGAGCTGATCGTAACGCAAGCACCATAATATGTATGACAGCGCCATTTCCAAGTCATGGCGAGGCAGGAAACGTATGGGGCTTGGAATGTCGAGGTGATTGAGCATTGACGACGATGTTTTGCGAGTGCAAAAGTGGCAAAAGAAGGAGGAGTGAGAGCGCTCGGGCCGGATGACTTCGTCGTCGACTTTAGCCAGCTGAGCGACCCTTGCGGCCAGCAGCGTGTCTCCATACGATTGTTTGTCGCATACTTGGTCGATAATATGGAATATGGAATAGGTGGGGACGAGCTGAGGGCTGCTGCAGTTCGAGATATCGGGTTGGTGGGGGAGATACAGCGGAAAGGGAAGGGGGGGCATCACGCAAGAGGTTGTTGGGACTCTCTAAAAGTTCCTTGTGGAAGAGGATGGCAGGGCATGTAAAGAGTGTCTGTGGAAAATATCTGTCGTGTCTAATCTATGATACTAATAATCAGTACATTAAACAATCGCGAATCGAGGGAGCAGCCTCCCAACCACCCTTTTGAGAATGGGTCGCGAAATTTTTCTGAAGTGATCTGCGGTGAAAAAAACCTACGAATAGCTATTCTTCTCTTGTAACTGAGAATTCAAAAATTCTATGTAAGCCATTAAAATTTTTTTAGAGCGATATCAGGTTGGCTTACCTTTTGTGGCTACTAGAATTTCCGTTTGGCTTTGTCGTATGGCCTTGTTCCAGTTCTGTAAAATATATCTTTCATCACCAAGGCAGCTGCGATTTTACGAAAAGTTTTGATTCGGCTGTTCTATAATTGAGTATAATTTTGAATATAACTCACTTCTTATCTATTGTTACATAGAGTGACCCCTATGTGCCACTGCAGATATTTGGAAGATTATTTCTTCAAAAAATGTAGCCTAGAAAAAATTTTTTGGGCGGAATAAGATTATCTTAGTTTTGTGGTCCTTCGAGTTTCTGTTTGACCTTGTACGGCATTGACCTCAGAACAAATGTGCAAAATCTGTAGTCTTCAATCCTAAAACGCTGGCTCCAATTTTGGCAAAAAGTTGATCCCACTGTTTTCCATTTTCTTGAATTGTATTTTTTTAGAATCGGGAACTTCAGGATTTTTTTTTTCGGAAACGTCTCAAGCATACAATCTTGCCAAGTACAATTATGATTCATAACTGCTTCCCACATTTTTTCCCCTATCAAACAGTTCTCACCTCCCGGTTTATCGATAATACCAACATTATAGTGATGACGTACGGGGATGTGAAGTGGTATAGCGCGTGATTTGTGTGCATATTGAGGAGACGAGATGGCCAGTTTACGACTCATTACGTATAGTGCGTCGAAATGACAGAATTTGTTATGAACGTCAAGATGCAAGGCGGGGGACTGGCAGACCATTGAGGAGATCAAAATTTATTACTTCCACGTTTTCTGTGTGCTAATGTATGGCATTAAATTATTTTCTTTTTTTTGGGAAATTCTATATTCGCTTTTGAGCTAGCCAAAATAACCGTAGCTCTTGCAGGCGAAATTTTCTTCAAATAAGCATGGTTCAGATGTCTTAGGCAGCATGTTTCTAAAAACTCCCTGTTTCAGAACCTATTTCCAGAAGTAAATTTATAGGACTGGCATTGGACTAATGGGTCAAAATTTATTATTTGTGCATTTTGTGCGATAATGTTCAGTTAGGAATTGGAAATTACTCTCTTTAAAAAAAACTCCAAATATTCTTTGATCTACCCTTGGATTAACTGGGTTGGCGGCTGGAAGGCGGGGCTTTGTGACCAAATTAAGGCTAGGCAATGATGAGAGAGCATACGCGCTGGAGAAACGCAGATTGCGTCGCAGGCGCGAGCGGTCTTAACTAGGTCACAAAGCCCCGCCTTCCAGCCGAGAAGCAAGTTGAATCATCCTCTCTAGCATCTTCTTACTATACCAGTTTCACTCTGAAAATCCCTTATTCCATATTCTATCCCGAAAAGGATTTGATTTTCTGAATTCGAGTCTATTTTTCTGTTTGTCATGCACTTCCGATTACTCTTTTCATCATGTCATTATATTGACTTTTGATCTTATGTTTATTCAGATGGCACAGAAACCACTGACTTATAAGCAGAAAGCAGGCATTTCGTTCATTGCACAAGATGATCCTCCTTTCATAAAAGAAATGAAAAAGAAGATGGGCTTTCAAGAGGGTCCCAAGCTGGAAGATAAGGTAAATTCATGAGTCATTACGATTCTCTCTTATAGCCGTTTACGTGAATTATAACAACACAAAAACGTTATTCAGTTCCAAGATGAAGCTGGACCAACTGATATAGATGATCCCGAAACCGAACTTTTAAGGATGAAAGAGGAAGATCGACCTCAGGTAAGGATTCTATAGTATGACATGAGGACTCCAAAATTTTTTGGTCAGATATCACTTTGGAAAGAAGCTTTACTACGTTGGCACCAAAGTTTTGTTGCACCATTCAAAAATCGTAGCTTATTTGACATTTCAACCAATTGCATAATTTCACTCTAATCTAAAAGGAAAAATCTTACGTTGTTTTTGCGTTTGTGCGACTTTCTACTAGGAAGGGGTGGGTCTAGAAATAGAAGTCGCAAAATATGACTAAGTTTCGAATTGAAAAGTGCTAAAAAATAAACGTTGCAGTTTCTTCCGAAACGTCAGTAAAATGAGTTTTGTGATCTGATTTATCTGATTAACACACTTGGTGCCGCTTGAAGGTCTATGGAGTCATGATTTTAGAGATGAATACCGGAAAGTAGGAGGAAAACGTTACAGTCACTTTCGGAGTAGTTAGTATATGTCAGTGCTTTCTTTTGAACTCACTTTCGTTGCCTCAAAGTGAATTTTGGTAGAAGCCTACATCAAAATGCAAATATGTATCGAAATATGCGTGGTGTAGTAATGAAGATAAATTCAGTGAGCCTGGATTTAGAGTGGAGTGCTTCAGAATATTTTGCTGAATATCTAGAAAGACCTTAGTGGATTTGTCTGCTATTGGAATGCGAAGTCTGTAAATTGAGACCCCTTTCCAACGGATTATAAATTTTGAGAATTCTTAATTTCTCAGCAGCCCTCACCAACTCGCTTCAGATTTGAATGACTTTTTCGTCTGCATAGATAAATCATGCCGTTATTGTTTCAGGTTGTTATCTTGGACCCTGAAACAGATCTGTCTCGGGAAGAAATGAACAAAGAACTGGCGGCTAAACAAAAGGAAGAAGACGGTAGGTTTCATGCTCTTTTTTTCTTAGTGATAAATTATCACAGCGGGCTTTCAATCAAATGGAGATTGTGGTGCGAAAGTCTTGAGTTGCAGCTTCTAACCTTTGTATGAACTTTTCTATCTTGACAATTGAATGAAATGATTAGTGTTTCTGTACACAAAAATCATGAATTTCTAACCAGCAGAGATTAGCCTTTCTTGAGTCAACAGTTCCTTACTTTCAGAGCGAAAAATTGCCGAAGGTAAGATCACCTTCAAGAAGCCGGTTAAGAGAGCGCCTGAGGGTGACACCAAGGAGAAGGAAGAGGTCAAAGAAAAGAAGAAACGAGGTGAAGAAGTGAAGCAGCCTGATAGTCGACTACTGTCTTTCGGCGATGACGAAGAGGAAGAAGACGAGTGATTATGTTGAAGTACAGTTTTCGATGATTTCGTGACTTACCTCGCACATTTTGTATATATATATGCAGGTTGGCATTTGTTGTTCATATTACTATGCAGTGAAACTTTTGTATCTCAAATAAATCCTCTGTAGGTAGTTTTTTACGTGTAAATCTTTACGTAGATAGCTCCGCCTCTTTGTGTATGTTTCTTACGATTTTGCAAATCTGTCTTCGGACAACTACTGTAAGAACTTGCTTCTCGAGCCTTCCAAGTACAATAACTTCAGTATAGACCTAAAAAGGGGACGTGAAAAGTGTCAGGCTAATAGTGAGTCAAAAATTGGTGCATTTGAATAATGCTCTTTCGCCTCTTTCCATTGAGAATACATCGGAAGACTGCAATTTATTGCACTTATTGTTAAAGCTGTTGACATAAATTCACATCAAACTAAACCTGATCACCTGATAAACTGATCAGGCTGAAGATCCTTTTTAGGACATTAGAAAAATCCACGTTAGAAACTACTTAAAATGACGTACAAAAACTCACATCTATATAGAGTGTAGGCAGATTTGTAATCAGATTGAACTACCAGGGTGTCCCAAGTTTTTTACCGTTTTTACCCTAACCTTAGCATTTCTCGAGAACTGGAGCACCTTCAAAGTTCACAAATACATGGTCGTGCTTCTATACAATACCATTCTTAGGATGTGCAAAATTTCCGTGAATGTCGCGGAATTCCGGGAATGCCGCGAAAGTCCGCGACATTCCCGGAATTCCGTAACATTTCGGGAATTTCGCGAAATCGACACGAATCATGCAAAATACGCAGCGCCATAACTTCCTTCGGAATGAATATATTCTGAATACGGAAGCAGCATTGTGTTCAGCTCGTCAAGACGAATCTTTTCATTTACACCATGTCCTCGATATTCCGTTTCCAGTTTTCTCAAATTGTTCTGAGGAGGTCGTTTGCAAGGATTTAACGCAGCGCGTATCCAACATAAAAGATACCCGTAAGTACTGTTCGATAGTACTCTTTTTGTAGATTATAGTACCTTAGAAAATGGCCGCAGACTTCCCTCCAAAAGAGATAAAAGCGTTGGTGAATTCTGGAAAAATTACGCGTTCCCAAATTCTACTCGCCGTAACTTCCTTCGGAATAAATATATTCTAAGTCCTAAAAAAGCGTTGTGCTCAGCTCTTTGAGACGAATTTTTTTGTATATAGCATGTCCTTGATATTTCGATTTCAGTATTCTCAAAACTTTCTGCAAACGTCTCTTGGCAAAGTTGTAAAGCGGCGCGTATTGCCCCAGTAGATTCCAAAAAGAACCTTTCCATAGTACTTTTTTAGATTACGGCGCGCCCAGAATTAGCCGCACACCTCTCTAAAGGAAATAAGAAGGGCGGTGAATTTTGGAAAAATCATGTCGTTCTAAATTTTTCTCACCATAACCCAATATGAAGCTCTCTTGCTAAGCAGATGTGATTTTCATAATCAGCAGGTTGGATAACCTCTATGAGCAAGTTTTCGGATATGTTGGTGTTATTCCTTTTTTTCCGTTTTACGCTCTGGCAGCTCGCCGATGGATTTTGGTCAAAATGTTGACGCCCCTTGTAAGGAAACTTCGCTTATAGAGGCTTTCGAACACGCTCTTTACGAAAATCGTGGTCTTTGAGGATTACAGGGTCTTTTTGCAGAAATATGGTGAGGTAACCGTAAGTGAGTCTCGAAAGTGCGTAAATTTGCACTGCACTTCTCGCGTACCTGTTAGAGAACTTGCCCGCTCATTGACTGGCAACTGTGCCATCGAATGGTGCATGTCTCAGACCTCACTCTGCCAAAATCGCCTAGTTACGAGCCTAGAAAACACATCCTCATGAATTTTGCACAATTTAAAAATCGCGTACTTCGAAATTCCACCTTGAGTGGTTGTATGACATTCTGATTGCAAATATCATGTTCACGTCGCCCAAGGAATTCCACTATATTGAATATGGTGGTTGGGTGTGCTTCAGCTGCTTAATTGAACCTCAAAGCAGTTTCGCAGCTAGAGCTCAGATCTGTCTAACTATCATAACCAACACGGAAAGATTCATTAAGCGAATTGAACTGATTTGATCAGCGTGTTATACAACCACCCAAGTTCGAATTTCGACGAAGTATGCAATCTTTAAATTTTGGGCGAAGTTTATGAGGACGTGTTTTCGCAGGCTTGTAAATCGGGGATTTTCGTAGATCAAAGTCTGAGATATGCACCGTTCGATGGCACAGCTCCCAGTAAATTTAACCTACAGAAGCAAGCGGGCGAGGTTTTTGACAGATACGCGAGAAGTGCGGGCAAAGTTACCACTTTCGTGATTCAGTTACATCACCTCACCGTATCTCTCCAAAAAGACCCTGTAATACTCAAAGACCACGATTTTCTAAAGAGCGTGTTCGAAAACCTCTACAAGCGAAGTTTCCTTAGAATTAAAGAGCATAAACACCAGAATCCACCGGCGAGCTTCCAGAGCGTAAAACGAGAAAAAATGAAATAATTCAAACATATCGGAAAACTCGCTCATAGAGGTTATCCGACCTGCTTAGCACGAATACGAAATTACGATTACAAAATCTATTACGAATATGACGAAAATCACATCTGCTTAGCAAGAGAGCTTCATATTTCATGGTTATGGTGAGAAAAATTCAAAACGGCATGATTTTACCGCAATTCACCAGCCCTTCTATTTTTTTTTCAAAGAAAACTGCGGCTACTATTTAGCGCATCAGAAACTACTGAAAAAGCACTAACGAAAGATCCTTGCTGGAATTTACTCGGGACAATGCTCGCTGCTTTACACCGCGAAGAGACGTCCGCAGAAAGATTCAAGAATACTGAAATCGGATTAAGGGCGTGCTGTAATAACTAAAGATTTATTAATACTAGCGACCCTACGGGTCGCTAGTAAGTGGGTAGGGGCAGATACAATATAAGGGCTTAGTTGTGATAATAAATATTTCTAAATAAGTTTCCTATGCCTTTGCTGAGAACATCATTGCGAAGCATTCTACAAAAGGAGAACTGTGAAGAAGCAATAATCTCCAAAATCATTCAGCATTTCTCGAAATTCCTGCTGCAACCATGCATGGAGTATTATTTTCCTCTCGTTTACCACGCTTTTTTTGCATCAGATAACCCCCCTCCCCCATCTTTTCTACCTTCTCAAAGAGAATTTGCTCTTCCAGTTCTTCTCAACAATTTCCATAAAAGATCGTCAAGGAAGTAGAAGAACACCTATCGTTTTGGAAGTAGAAATATACACCCACAACAATTGTGTACTACAAAAAACACTTTTCTCTCAGAATCAACTCCGACAGCAACGAAATAAATCGTCTAAGAACTTTGTCAGAAAATTTTTCAATATTTTCGCCAAAGCTTTACTACATAAGTAGATCCCTCTCCGAAAAGCACATTACTGAGCCACCTAAAGACCGTCAATCATAAGAACTGCATAAACGTACAAAAAATTTGTTTCCCTGTGCAATTAAATTGCCCTACGTGCCGCTTGAAGACCGTTTAAATTATAAGAACTGTCCCAAAAATTATAAGAACTGTCCCAAACGTACAAAAATCTGTTCCCCTGCCCGATCAAGTGCCCTACGTGCCGCTTGAAGACCGTTTAAAAATTATAAGAACTGCCCCAAAACGTACAAAAATCTGTTCCCCTGCCCGAAAGTTGCCATAACTATTCAAAAGAAAGTTTATGCCTATGTGCCGCTTGAAGACCGTATACATAAGAAAAACCAACCTTACGACTCTACGGAAAGAAAACAACGAAATCAAGTATTTACAGCATATTCTCAAATTGCCGTCCATGCCACTTTTGGAATTTCAATTCTGAGAACTGCCCCAAGCGTACAAAAATCTGTTTCACTGCCCGATGCAAGTGTCCTACGTGCCGCTTACACACCGATTCCTAGTTAAAAGCACCAGCGGGACCCATTAACAAGCAAAAGCAAGGCTGTTATTAGAAAATGCTCCCAAAAGTACCAGCGAGATCAAGTTACTCACGCACTCTCTTGTCTACACGTGGAAGCAAGACGATCCTAAAGTGACTGTTCTTAGTTAGAGCATTTTTACAAGAGTTGGGAACTTAGATGAACTTTGCTCAAGTGACGCTCTTACGCAATTTGGCATCATTTCAATAGCAACTAATTGGAGTACAACATATTTGAAAGACGCATTCTGGGATAACAAGCTCGAAAAAAAAGCAGCTACAAATAACCACCCGGACACTGGCGACCCAGTCTCAAAATCGTTGCGACATCATGATTGCCTTTCGAAATACGTGTGACCCGTTTACGAAAATATGCTTGGTCATTTTGAAATTTGGCAGCGTTCCAAAACGCATGCCACTTGGTAGCAATCCAAATCTAAAGATCATTGTATTTCATCATAATTTCTCCGTCTGCGGCCTCCTGTTTGCCATGTTCCACGGACCAAGGGTGTTAATGGGTAAACAACGATTCCAAAATATATTACGTAGTGACTAGCGACCCTACGGGTCAAGGGCTGAGTTGTGATAATAAATATTTCTAAATAAGTTTCCTATGCCTTTGCTGAGAACATCATTGCGAAGCATTCTACAAAAGGAGAACTGTGAAGAAGCAATAATCTCCACAAATCATTCAGCATTTCTCGAAATTTCTGCTGCAACCATGCATGGGGTATTATTTTTCTCTCGTTTACCACGCTCTTTCTGCAAATTTTCCCTCCTCACAGAGACATCTAGATACCCTCCCCCCTCCCATCTTTTCTACCCTCTCAAAGAGAATTTGCTCTCCCAGTTCTTCTCAACAATTTCCATAGAAGATCGTCAAGGAAGTAGAAGAACACCTATCGTTTGGAAGTAGAAATACACCCATAACAATTATGTGTACTACAAAAAACACTTTTCTCTAAGCATCAACACCGACAGCAAAGAAATCAATCGTCTAAGAACTTTGTCAGAAAATGTTTCAATATTTACGCCAAAGAAATATGAAGCTTTACTACATAAGTAGATCCCTCCCCGAAAAGCACACTACTGAGCCACCTAAAGACCGTCAATCATAAAAACTGCATAAACATACAAAAAATTTGTTTCCCTGTCCAATTAAATTGCCCTACGTGCCGCTTGAAGACCGTTTGAAAATTATAAGAACTGTCCCGAACGTATAAAAATCTGTTCCCTGCCCGATCAAGTTGCCCTACGTGCCCTTGGAGACCGTTTAAAAATTATAAGAACTGTCCCGAACGTATAAAAATCTGTTCCCCTGCCCGATCAAGTGCCCTACGTGCCGCTTGAAGACCGTTTAAAAATTATAAGAACTGCCCCAAAACGTACAAAAATCTGTTCCCCTGCCAGATCAAGTTGCCATAACTATTCAAAAGAAAGTTTATGCCTATGTGCCGCTTGAAGACCGTATACATAAGAAAAACCAACCTTACGACTCTACGGAAGGAAAACAACGAAATCAAGTATTTACAGCATATTCTCAAATTGCCGTCCGCCACTTTTGGAATTTCAATTCTGAGAACTGCCCCAAGCGTACAAAAATCTGTTTCACTGCCCGATGCAAGTGTCCTACGTGCCGCTTACACACCGATTCCTAGTTAAAAGCACCAGCGGGACCCATTAACAAGCAAAAGCAAGGCTGTTATTAGAAAATGCTATCAAAAGTACCGGCGAGATCAAGTTACTCACGCACTCTCTTGTCTACAAGTGGAAGCAAGACGATCCTAAAGTGACTGTTCTTAGTTAGAGCATTTTTACAAGAGTTGGGAACTTAGATGAATTCAGCTCAAGTCACGCTGTTACGCAATTTGGCATCATTTCAAAGGTAAGTAATAGGAGTACAACATATTTGAAAGACACATTCTGGGATAACATGCTCGAAAAAAAAAGCAGCTACAAATAACCACCCAGACACTCGGACACTGGCGACCCAGTCTCAAAATCATTGCGACCTCATGATTGCTTCGAAATACGTGTGACCCTTTTACGAAAATATGCTTGCTCACTCGTTTTGAAATTTGGCAGCGTTCCAAAACGCATGCCACTTGCCAGCAATCCAAAGACAAAGATCAGTGTATTTCATCATAATTTCTCCGTCTGCGGGCTCCTCGTTTGCCATGTTCTACGGACCAGGGGTGTTAATGGGTAAACAACGATTCCAAAATATATTATGTAGTGATTTATATCTATATTAACCTAGAAAATACCACCAGTTCCAAAGAATACAGTGCACATAAACAAGTTAATTTATCAGAATGACAACCGACATCACAATAACATGCTTAGAGGCACAAGGATCATACAAGCAGATCACTTTCTGAGTATCATACTTCTACTCTAGATAGAGAGCATAAATAATATTATTTACATTTTGATACATACGAAGCATTCAGAAAGCACAACTACAGATAGGAAGCTCAACCAGGGCTTCCCCGTGCACCATTC